CCAATTTTGTATAAAAAAAATAACCTTTACTGGTAATGGTGATGAAATAAAATGCTGAAAGGAGTGTGATTGTTGACCCACAAAATTAATAGTTTCAGATTAATTCCCTTAGGCTTTGTTTAGTTTATGAATTTAAGAAGGGAATTGAAAAAGAAAAGGGAAAAGATGTACTAAATATAGTTATATTTTATTCACATTCCACCTATCTTTTCACTCTCCAAATCCCTACCCAAATCCATGAACAAAACACAATCTTATAACTCTCCTAAAGTTGAAGAATTTATGGCTTGTGTGTTGTCTATCACAATTGAAGGGCATCTATCAAGGAAATATGGTTTCAATTCCATTGGAATTCATGTAGAATGGTGTCCCAAGCTGAAAGTTATGACACAGATTGGTAGAAGGAGCATCATAGTGCCAAGGATGTGTTTTTACCCTTCCTCCACATTAGTTAAATCTTTGCTTTTGTGAGTCTCTCAAACTGTTTTATTATTATCTACTATTTCCACTTTCTTCATTACTCTCTTCTATAGTCCAACATATTTTATTTACTTATGGGATAAAAGAAAACCAACTTGAACCAAACAATCAATACAAGTATTTACTGATTTTTTTATTTGTTTTTTTTCGGAAGTTCAGTCAATTCTAAACTCATTATTTGTCTTATAACAATGTGCATTTTACAAGGCAAAATATTATCTTCCATCAAGATTTTGTATTGGTACATGGGACTATCTGATCAACTACTTGAAGGATCAATCTTCATTTCTAGTAGAGTTTCATAGGCTTTTCTGTTTCATATTTGTACTGCATCCCTTTCTTTAGCTCTGTTTGGTAGAGCTGTGAGAAAGTGCTTATAGCTTATGCCTAAACAGCTTATAGCTTAAAACTATGAACATAAGTTGATTTCTAACTTATAAATTAAGCATCTCCTGCCCCACTCAAAGAATAAGTTGATTTCTGACTCCCAAAAAGTTATAAGCTATAAGTTATAAGCTAAACCAAACACATTAAAATAGCTTAAATTAAGCTGAAAGCTGAAATAAGTTGCTTTTAAGTTCTGTCAAACAGACACTTTATCAGTAATAGAAAATTCTATCTTTTCATTCTTCTCATAAAGCTACATTATCTCTCCATTTTTTAGTTCATACAGATGGGATCGAACTATACTAGACTGTAAAGGAAAGCAGCAAAATAAGAAATCGTCCCAGAATGCAAGGGATCAGAGCCTTTTCATTTGTTATATATACATATACTTCGCTTAGGCTGCTAAATTGAACATGTGACCAAAAAAATAAAATAAAATTTGAACTACATTTCATTTTATCTAAATCCCCTTGTATCAATGTTTCAAATCTATTTCATACAGACAATTTAATGTATAATTTTCAAGACTTTAATGTCTTGCCTGGCATTCCTTAAAGTTAATCAAATCCTTTAAATCTCATTCCTCTCACAATTATGGTTTAAATAGTACTGAAAAACTTTTCTATTTGATCTATTTAATTATGCAGTACATGCTATGCTATGATTGCAAAAAATCGGAATAATTGTAGCTGCCTTTTTATTTTCTGTCCATCTTAAACAGTTAGTTTGGTGGTCTATGTTACCTTTCATTGCATTTATTGTTTTCATTTTATTACATTTGAATTTGTGAAATATTTTATTCATAAGAAAAAGCAGGATAGGTCTAGCTACATATGCATGGCAGAGTCCTAAAACTAAGGACTGGACACAACTTCAGTTGTCACTGATTTTGTTAGGTTTACTAGACAATTGTCACTAATTTTGTTAGGTTTGTTTGACAAAAAAAATTAATAAATAAATAAATAGAACATAGATACAAAGTTGTCACTTGTAAAGATAGCATCACTATAGATTTCTTTGCTTAACGACATAAAATTTTAAAACTTGTCATATTTTATTTTTTCGAATCCCTCATTTAACAATGGACTGTCTCCATTTTTATACAAGGAAATTCCCGAAAAGGAAACTAACAAAATTCTCAAGTACTTTGGGTTAACAGATAACTTTCAAGGCATTCGATGAAAGCAAGTGCTGACTTTATTGTCTTGGCTGGCATTTCGGTTTCTTCTTCTTCAATGTCATACTCCACCTTGACATCAACCAAAGTCTCCAACTCTGCATTGGCAGTGAGTTGAAAAATCGTTTTGTATGAAGAGAAGCCGTGATTAAGGTGTCCCCCTTCTATCACTTGCATCCCAATTTGATGCATGGACTCATCAAGATCCACTATCTTTTCCTTCTGATAGCTCATAGTGAACACATCTGATATTTGTTTCCAAGCAAAACAAATTATTAATTCATAAATTTTGTTTGTGAAAGTTTCATTTGCTATTAACATGTGTTATCTCTTGGGGATTTAGTTACTAAAGTCATATAAAATTCACTTGTACATAAATATAAGGAGAATGCTATGATGTGCAACTGCACATCATATGCACCTCATGCAAAAAACATAATTTTTCTCACAAAATGTATAATTTTTGTCACAAAAAATATAACATTTTTTCTTTACAAAAAATATAACCTTTTGCTTCTCACAAAATGTATAACTTTAAAATTCATAACTTTCATCACAAAAATCATAATTTTCTTCTCACAAAATGTTTGTCTTTTCCTACAATGTGCAAATGCACATTGTAACCTCTCCCTAAATATAAGAGTAAATTACACCAATCTCCTTTTCAAATTTGGAGAAAATACAGTATGCCCCACAATTACAATTTTGACATAATTACATTGAGTTCTCTTGTGATTTTAATTTGTATAACACTTAGTTCCTCTTGTAAGCATATCCATAAAGTGGCATATATGCTACATGTTTGTTTTATTTATTTATTTATGTTATAATATAAATATTATATATATATATATATATGTATATATTAGTAAACAATTGGGTATCTAGCGTGAACTATGTCCACTACCCCTTAAAGTGATTTCATGGGAAGTTACAACTTCACTGACGGTGGGAAGTTATGAGGAGTTACACTTGAATCATGAGTCCAACCCTATCTATATATGCCTATGATAACCATCAAAACCCAGACATTGTTTTGTGAATAGAATAAGTTTGAAACTCCATTCCTTCCACTTTTCTATATGGTTATGTAAAAGTATTTTGTGAGTGTTTTGTTTGTACATTCAAGACTTGATCAATCAAGAACAAGATTTAAAGGCTCGAACATCATGGCATGAGGTATTCTTCTTTTATTAAATTATTTTAATTCTCAAAATTGGTATTAGAACCTCCTTCTGTCTTTGTTGTTTAGCGTTATTGTATTTTATGGAGGCCAAATCTTATTGCGTTCTGTTTTATACACTTGTATGGGCCTCTATTCCGTTATGATTTTGACATGACAATTTTTCTTCGTTTGTACGATTTGGTGCGTTCGCTATAAAATATTATTACGTTTTACTCTTTGTAATGTTTTGACCAATTTGAGCACACCATGTCTATGCTTTTAGCCGTTTGTTTATTTTCTCCTGTGAAAGTGATTTTGGAACTTGCAGGCCATCATACTTTTGAATATAAATTTGATAGTTTAATACTTAATAGTGACTTTTGAATATAAATTTGACAGTCTAGTGCTTAATACTTTTGAATATAAATTTGATAGTTTAATACTTAATAGTGACTTTTGAATATAAATTTGACAGTCTAGTGCTTAATAGTGAAGTTTTAGTCAACATAGCGCTATCATTATATATGACTTGTGATTGTACAATATAGTATAATGTTATTTAAAGTTTGAATTTTCATATCAATATGAACATTCATTGTTTGGTTCATCTTAATAATATATATATATATATATATATATGAAACTTGATGTATTAAAATATTGATTTGACGTCTACCAATATTGAATATGAACTATTGCATGATGTATTACTTAGAAGGAATAGTAGAATTCATTTTGTTATGTAATTGTAGTATTTACATTAATTTAAAATTACTCTTATTCTAAATCTATTTCATTTTGGAGACTTGTTGTATGTCATTAAGTATTAATTTCTATTTATTGACAAACATTAAAAACCAAACTGCTTCATCTTATTTTGTATAAATTCTAGAAATTATCATGCTTTTATTTGGGCTTATTTGGTTAATTTTAAAAGATATAAAAGACTTGAATTTATTTCTAGAATTTTCATGAAGAAATTTTAACATGCTGTTAAAAATTTTTTGTTTATTGTAGTTGCATGTTTAAATTGTAAGTAAATTCTTTTGAATTTCATACAGTGAACTATTGCTTTAAAGCCTTATAAATTTTCATATTCATTGGCATGCTCTCTAGTATAGTGTAATATCATATCACATGCATTACGATTATTTATGCCATGAAAATTCATGTGAAATAAGAGTATGTATACACTGTGTGTTGGACTTAATAAATTTTTTTTGGTCCAATTTTTAAGCAAAATCTAGTATGAGGTTGAGTTAATGTGTTTGGTCTTGAGATTTTTCATGTGATATTACTCTGATTGCATGTATTATACATTATGTGCATTGAAAGATTATGTACTTGTTGTGACCATAAGGATTCACTCACATTAATAAATTATGCCATAATTAAAAGGATTTTATTCTATTTTAAGAGTAGCCACAGCATCTTAAGACATGAAAATGTAGTGATCCTCAGCATTTTGATCACATAAAGTTAAAAAAAATTAATTTGGCATTTTTATATTGCAATCATGTTTTATAAATAATTTCATGGTCTCACAGGAAAGTAGTTATTTATAAAATTTAATAAGAATAAGATAATGGATTAGGTATTAAAGGGATTGGACACTCTAAACCCATAGGTATGAGTTTTCTTTTTCTTGAATATTTCAAAATCCATTAGTCTTATTATAAAGTAATAGCAAATCTAATACAGTTTAAAGGCCTCTACCCATAGGAAGGTTTAGATTTGTTACTGAATTTGACATTTGTTGATTCAGACTATAGTTATTGTTTCAATGCATTAATGATGTTCTTGGTAATTGCAGTGATTTCTACCTCTATAATTTCTACCTCTTTATTGCCTAATGAGTCTTCCCATATTCCATTCTTGAACGATGATAATTTTTTGGACTGGAAGGATCAAATCCTTCTAACATTAGGGTGCATGGACCTTGATCTAGCACTCCGTGTGGATGAACCTCCTGAACCCACGAATGAGAGTTTCGCTGCAAAAAAGAATGCTTATGACAAGTGGGAGCGATCTAATCGCTTAAGCCTAATGCTCATAAAGTCACATATTAGCCAGAGCATTAGGGGCTCAATCTCACTATCTGATAAGGTCAAGAACTACATGAGGGCTATTGAAAAGAAATTTGTTAGTTCTGACAAGGCATTGGCAAGCAACCTAATGAACAAACTATCAGGCATGAAGCATAACAATTCTAAGAGTGCGTGAGAGCACATTATGGAAATGTGGGACTTTGCAACTCATCTTAAGTCTTTAGAGATTGAGATTTCTGACTCATTTCTTGTCAATTTCATACTCAATTCTCTTCCTATGGAATATGTTACAACACACAGAAGGAAAAATAGTCTATCAATGAGCTTTTGACCATGTGGGTTCAAGAGGAGGAGAGATTGAAGTATGGAAAAGTGGAAAGTGCTCATTTAGCAACACATAAAGGAGGGCAATGGAAAAAGGGCAAAGGTGATCAAAAACGAAAGAAGCTTGGTAAAGTGCCATTCAAAAATTATGGCAATAAGGATGCATGCTTCTTTTGCAAGAAAAATGGTCACATTAAGAAAGATTGCCCCAAGTATAAGAAATGACTTGAGAAGAAAGGTAATCTCATATCTCTTGTGTGTTCTGAGTCTAATTTTGTTAAGACTCATCAGTATGATTGGTGGATTGATTCAGGTTCTATAATTCACATTGCTAATACCATGCAAGGCTTCCTCAGCCTAAGGAAACCGACGGAAAGTGAATAAGGCATCTATTCGGGCAATGGGATGCGTTCGCACATCAAAGCTATGGGAACTTTCAAACTTGTTGTAAAGAATGGCTTTGTTATGAATCTTGAAAACACTTTTTATATTTCATCTTTTTCTAAAAATTTAAGTTACGTTTCTAGACTAGTACCGTTTGGATTTGAATTACAGTTTGTTGGTGCAAATTTTAGTTTGTTTAAAGACTGTTTCTGTAGGATTGGTACCTTAATTAATGGTTTGTACAAATTAAATTTGGATCCTGTTTTTGAACAAAATCTTTTAACCTTGCATGGTGATATTAGCATTAAACCTAATATTGTTGATGAGTCATTCTCTATACTTTGGCATAGGAGATTGAGACATATCTCCATTGAGAGAATAAAGAGGTTGGTTAATGATGAAGTCCTTTCGACTCTTGATTTTACTAACTTTGGTATTTGTGTGGAGTGCATAAAGAGAAAACAAACTAACAAGACCAGTAAAGGTGTCAAAATGAGTGAGGAAATTTTTGAAATCATACATACTGATATTTGTGGACCATTTACTCCACCTTGTCTGAATTGTCAGAGATATTTTATCTCATTTTGATGACTATACACGATATATGTATCTCTACCTCTTGTTTGATAAAGCCGAGGCACTTGATGCTTTTAAAGTTTATAAAGCAAAGGTAGAGAAACAAACAGAAAAGAAAATTAAAATTATGAGGTCAGACAGGGGTGGAGAATATTATGGGAGGTACATAGAGTTAGGACAATTACCAAGTCCATTTGCTAAGTTCCTTAAGGAAGAAGGCATTATTGCATAATATTCAATGCCTGACACACCACAATAAAATGGTGTTACTGAAAGAAGAAATCAAATACTTATAGACATGGTAAGGAGCATGCTTAATTATTCTAATGTGCCTATAAATTTGTGAAGTGAAGCTTTGAAAATCATTGTGTATATCTTAAACATGGTTCCATCCAAGGTTGTTCCCAAAACACCATTTGAGTTGTAGAAAGAATAGAAGCCAAGTTTAAGAAAAACAGGGTTCCATCCAAGGTTGTCTTCAAAACACCGTTTGAGTTATGGAAAGGATGGAAGCCAAGTTTAAGACACTTACATGTTTGGGGTTGTCCAGTTGGAGGGTGTATAACCCACATTTAAAGAAATTAGACCCCAGAACAGTAAGTGGTTTTTTGATAGGCTATGCGGAAAACTCTAGGGGTTATAGATTTTATTGTCCTTCAAATTCACTTAGAATTGTTGAAGCCAGAAATGCTAAGTTTATTGAGGAAGTTGACCCTAGTGGGAGTTACTCTCGGAAGATAAAGTGGGAGGAATTACGTGATCTAGATACAACACCCGTGAATATAGGCGAATTGGTTATCTTTCAGGATAATCAACCCAATATTCTTGAAGATTAACAAATTCAAGAACTTCCACCACAAGAGGAACAAGTCAACATAAAGCATGTAGCTCAACTCCCAATTGAGACTACATAATTAAGGAGTTCTTCACGAGCTGGAAAGTCAGCAATTTCTGGTGATTATTTTGTAAATGGAGTCTGATTTTGACATCAAACCTAAGGATGATCCTATTTCGTTTTCCAATGCCATGAATAAGGATGATTATAAATTATGGTATGATGCCAAGAAGGAACAGTTGGAATCCATGGCTAAGAATCAAGTTTGAAAAATTGTCGAGTTGCCTAAAGGAGTTAAAGTTGTTGGCTGTAAATGGGCCTTTAAGACCAAGAAAGACTCAAATGACAATGTTGAACGATATAAGGCCAGACTTGTAGCTAAAGATTTCACTCAAAGAGAAGGCATCGATTAGCATAATACCTTCCATCCGGTTTCAAAAAAAGGATTCATTTAGAATTATCATGGCCTTAGTGGCTCATTTTGATTTAGAGCTACATCAAATGGATGTGAAAACGACATTTTTAAATGGGGATCTTGAGGAAGAAGTATACATGAACCAACCTGAAGGTTTTTGTTCTGATAAAGATAGTCACTTAGTTTGCAAGCTCAAGAAATCCATATATGGACTAAAACAAGCTTCCCGACAGTGGTATTTAAAGTTCCACAATGTTATTACTTCATATGGTTTTACGGAGAATGTTGTGGACAACTGTATATACCTTAAGGTTAGTTTTTTGGAAAGTTTTAGAGAGAGAGAGAGAAAAAAAAGTGATTCAAAATGTTATCTTTACGTACTGATATACACGCAGTCCGCTCGAGCGTGGAAAGTGATGCTCGAGTGTCAAACACAAACGTCCGCTCGAGTGCAAGAAGCGAAACTCGAGCGTAGAATACACATTTCCAAAAGTTTTGCAGATAAAGGACCCTGCTCGAGCGTGAAAATGGATGCTCGAGTGTCCAATGCACTCTCTTAGTATTTACAGAACTGCAAAAATAATTAAAGTTGATGACTCCCACTCGAGTGCAAGAATGGCCTCTCGAGCGGAGGAGCAAAATTTGTGAAGCCCGCTCGAGCGCAAGAATTCTCGCTGGAACAGAGCAACCAAAATCTGGACAACAAAGGTTTGAAAAAAACACGCAACCAACCTGTTTCGAACGTACAACTACAACCCAATAACCAAAATATAGGAGAAATAAGGGAAGCAAGATATGAATAACTATTCTAAATCATACCAACTCGAATCTAGAATACAATAGATAACGGGTCAAAACCGGAATTGTAATAGCAGAGAGAATGAAAATAAAGAAGGTAAATGGGCATTAACATCATTTTACATTTATTATTAACAACGTTAGTATTACTGTTTAGTCTAAAATGTAAGAGAGGTTTTAGCTATTTTCAAATGTAAGGGAGGTTAAATACTCCAAGACAATACTACAATAAGGTAAAATAGATTTTACCCTGTTAATTATTAAAATTATAATTTTTAACATGAAATTGTAATCATTTTTTAAAAGTATTTTGTTTTATTTATTTATATTATATATATATATATATATATATATTATATGTATTTAATTAGTTTAATGGTTAATGGGTAACTGACGTCTGTTCACTATCTCATATGGTGGTTTCATGGGACCTTACAACTTCCCTAATGGTGAGAAATTATAAGGAGTTACACTTGGATATTGGTACAAGCCTATCTATATATATACCTGTGATCACCATCAAACACAAACGTTGTTTTGTGAATATAATAGGCTTGAAACTCTGTCTCTTTCACTTTTTCCATATGGTTCTATAAAAGTGTTCTATGAGTGGGCTTCTTTATACGTTCAAGATTTGATCATTCAAGGATAAAGATTCAAAGACTTGAATATTATGACAGGAGGTATTCTTCTTTCTGAATTAAAATTATTTTAATTCTCACAAGTTGTATTAACAGACAAAAACACTCTCATTGTCACCATGCAATCAGTGCGAGATATGTTTATCTACAAATATATATATATATATATATATATAGAGAGAGAGAGAGAGAGAGAGAGAGACATAAATACTCTTGAAAATATAACACAATTACATATTATAAGTAAAATTTTAAATTATTGATGAAAAATAAGATATAAATTTATTTATTTTTATTTAATGATGTGTAGAAGATATAATTAATTAATAATAATAAATATATAAGAGAAAGAATTATTTTAAATATTTTAATTAATTAATTATATTATTAAATTTAAAAATTAAATAATATTTTGAATTAAAATATATTCCTACTCATATATATCGATCTGTTCAGAAACCGCGTTAAACCAACCTCTCTCTCTCTCTATGCGTCAAGTCCAGTCAATTACATAAATAAATTTATAAATAAAGCTAACCATCGCTATCGAATCTTGCAAAACCAGTGTGAGGATCCATTTCAATTCTTCTCTTTGCCACGGACAAAAACATATGTAGCCCACCACAAAATCTTCAAAAAGGTATAATGGGCTGTTTAAGGAAGATGATTTTTAAAAATTATTTTTTAGTTTTTAACTTATTTTTAAATTATATCATCTTCCATTTTTTTTTAAATATTTTTTTTAAAAAAAAATTAAAAAATTAAAATAACAACTTTTAATATTCTTTTCAAAACAATTCAGTACATGGGCTGCAGCTTCAAATTTGGGAGCCTTCCCAAAATAGGCCTACCTATGAATTTCATACAATGAATTATAACATGTTCTTTTTGTTTTTATAATTTTTGAGATCCATTGGCATGTTATCTAAAATAATGTAATATTATATTACATGCATTAAGGTAATTATTTATGCATTGAAAATTCATGTGAAATAAGAGTATGAATATACTATGTGTTGAGCTTATGGAATTTATTTTGGTCCAATTTTTAAACAAAATCTACTATAAGGTTGAATTACATGTGTTTGGTCTTGGGATTTTTTATGTGATATTACTTCGATTGTATGTATTATACATTAACAAAACATCCTTAACAGCATGTTAAAATTTTTTTATGAAAATTCTAGAAATAAATTCAAGTC